TTTACACTCTGCTCCTTGTATATTGAACATGTACACTGGTGACAAGCCGTGACTTGTGGCACTGTCACAACCGCTCGGCTGTTGATTACAGCGTTGAGTGATTGAGATTTGAACTGATACCTGGTGGCATTCTGATACACATGCAGGCATTGCACGTATGCATGCACAGATTTTCACTCTCAGGCTGCCTCTCACTCTCTAACAGTGCAGACAGCAGCAGATAAAAACACTATTTGTGTCCCTGGCTGCGACGGAAATAGACATTAAGCAAAAGGGGACCACAGAGCTCCAGCATCGACATCGCGCTGCTCTGTGTGTACGTGCCGACAGAAGAGTGTGTGTGAATGTCACTTTGGGTGATGTACGCAGTCACTGACACTTGGTGTCACCTGAAGGCGAGCTGACACACAGGTAACCCACAGGTTCACACACATCACGTCTTATCATCCAATCTATATTCGGTAAAACATTAAAAGTTAATGTTCATCTCAGTGGTTTAATATTTGACCTTCCTCTCAAAGTGAGAGAGAGTTTGGTTTTGGTCAAACAGTATAGGTGTGTGTGTGTGTGTTTGTGTGTTTGTGTGTGTGTGCCCTTGCTTTGCTCTTGCCCAGTAAGATCTGGTTCAAGGCTCATTTCCTAATTACAGTGCTGGCCAGAGGTAATTACAACCTTAGATTAAGAGCCATTTCTCTTTTTTTACGGGCCCACTGAAATGCAGCAATTTGTGGTGGCTTTCTGGGATGAGCATCCTCCCTCTCATCCTCTCTCTCCCTCTCTCTCATTCTCCATCTGTCTCTCACTCAGCTCCTTCTCCCCAAATACTTTACTGGAGTTTGTTTTGGAATTTGGGGGATTTTTTGGCTTTCGAAAGATTTTCCAACCAGAGTGAGAAGTAAAAAAAAAAAATATAGATATATATATATATATATATAGCAGGGTTTCATTTAATGTAATGCTTGAGAGTCCTTTCTTTTATGAGGAATCAGACGGTCATCTGCTTTAGAAGATAGACAAACTGGTAAAAAAAAAAAACAATCTGATGACAGCGAGCATGTGTGTGTGTCTGTGGACACGGAGGACAGAAGTTATTTGGGGTTTGAGCTCAAGCTGGGGCACTCCAAAGCCCTCAGATCCCTTCGCATGTGTGTGTATATTTATGCAAGGTTTTGAAGTGGTTCTTCTGAACGCATCATTTGGCTGCATCGGCAAGCTCTTCTTCAATTTAGCTTGGCAGGCGTACGGGCTGGGGTTTGCCTCCGCATACCGCTGGGTCAGCATTGATGTGTGAGGCTGAGGCCTTTGAAGCCGGGGGTTTTATTTAAGTCGCCTCTTCAAGAGAGCTGCTCCAGCTCAGCACCTGAGGAAGGGCACACTGAAGCCTTTAATTCTAACGGTGGAAGAAAAGGTACATCCCGAATTCTATCTCCCACTCCCAAAGACTCCTTGCTAATTGTGATGAGCCCTCACTTTCACATAGAACAGCCTTGAGAAAAGCAAACACACACACATTCACACACTTACTCCAACTTTCTGCCCTGTCGACTCCCCTCTCTCTGCCTGTTGTGTGAGTGCCCCACTCTTATCCTCCTCTCCTACCTCCACCTCACTATATTCCTCCTCTCCTCCCTGGCCTCCTCGCCTCAGCACCTGACTTTTAACCCCCTAATCCCTCTGATGCAGAGTGTAAGATGCTTCAGGCACTGCCCCTAGTTGGCGTAAAACAGAGCTCTGGCGATACCATGCACACTGTGAAAATCCTCTGCTCTTAACCATTTTTGAAAGAAATAGGAAAGAGTGTCAACATTCATTGTGAACAGAACCACACACACAGAGTTGTGTTCATTTGTAGATTTACAGGCTCCTGTAAGACGTCCAGCAGATCTTTTTAGTCATGTCTCAACACGACAAATGAAAGACCACAACTGTCAATAATCATCATCAGAAGCAGATTTAGACATCAGTGCTCTTTTCCACTCAAGCTCTTTGGTACAGATAATGAAATGCCTTGATGTTGTAAAAAAAATAATAAAAATAAAAAACAGATAAAAGTACAGGATGACACAATGTTGGCAACCAGATCCTGGATGGGTAGTGTGGTAACCACATCACTGTCACAGTGGTGTGACAGCAGGCCTGCACTTAATTGCTTAAATTGGGTTTTATGACAGAGGTCTCCTTTGCCTTAGTCATGCTTCCCGTCCACAGACCAACATTTAAGGGCAAGAAATGTCCCATGGGGCAGAGATAATCCACCCAGAGCGCATATGTGTCACTTAATGGTCACACTAGCATGCACAATTACACATCCATCATCAAAGTGTTGCCATATGTTTTGACATATTTCTGACAAGCTGTAATTTTACATCACAGGTAAAGAGATAGCAAGGTAGAGTAAGAATTTAACTCTATTTGATTCATTTCTTCTCTCTGACTCTCTCCCTATCCTCATACACATAATTCATCCACTTGGGCTTCTCTCAGTCTCTCAGCAGTGGTAAGTGTCTCACTGTCAACAAGTGACTGTACAAACACACACTACTGTGGAGGCTGGGGAGAGTGAAACACTAGAGCAGAAAGCAATGAGCTCCACAAAATAACTACACTGGCACAACTGCTCCCTTGTACTGTAAGTGTTACAATCTGTGCAGTATAGTAGCCTGAAAGTTCTCCACATTAGTGACGGATAATTGGCCTCCTGTGGTTGCTCTGCTGTGTCTGGTAGCCTAATATAAACCAATTACAACCATTATTATACTGTCAATGACACAGTAGCTTCTCCTATAGCATAATGACAGCCCGTGAGGAAACACATGGCGAGGAAACAAGCAGTACACTGGTGTAGGGGTTAATAGTGGGGCCATTGGAGTAGTTTACATTGCCTGTTTTGCCCCCAGGAAAGATTAGCCGATTTTCTGTGCCTGTTTGTGGGGGAAGTGTAAAAGATGTTAATCTGACTGAAAGCTGGAGGGATCACAGTCAGAAGACTGTTCTTACATGAATTAGGTATCTTACGCAAAGGCCTATATATATATATAAATAAATATAATATGATATATAAATAATTATTACATTTCACTGTTACTTTACAGAGATTACGTCCTTAACCCTAACAAAGCCTGGTTTGATCAAGTTTCTGTGGTTATCACCCAGGCAACAGAGTACAAACACATAATTCTAAGGTTAAGTTAAGTTTAAAAATCTTTGGCACAAGATGATACTCCATCTCGGAGTATCAAAGTTTAAACTGGCATAATATTAGGAAAGATAAAATCATATTATCTAAAGAAAACAAATGCAATTACAGTTTTTTGTAATTTCACTTTGAACAGAGATTGGTTTAAACGTGTTGAGTCACGTCACATTATTGGATGTTAGTTTATTGGTGGAGTAGGTCACTCAGAGATTTAATCTTTCAGGAATTTGGCCTCATCATTCGTTGCTCTACTGCACACATGCTGAAAGAAACTGATGTCTCTCTAATTTCTGCTGTACCTTTCTGCACATCTGAGCCAGTGTTTCTTTCATCCGTCTCTCCACTGCACCGCCTTCAGCTAAAAAATCTAATGATTGAGTTGTTCTCTCTATGTCTCTGTCTTTGGAACTTGTCCACACTTCAATCAAGCATTTATTGTAGTCATAATAATGAACTTATGGAGTAATGTTTAGAACAGTAGCAGCTGTTGATAGACATCTTCAATATTGTAGTGTGGCATCAATCATGCTTACTGCTGAAACTTGGCTACCAATTCTGTATTACAAAGCTATGACATTTTCTTGTCTTCCATCCATCGTTTGGGGTTGCACATTATTTAGTGGCTTCATGAATTCCTAACAATTTGTTTTTGTTGTAAAGGGAGCATAAAACCACATAAAGACAAAGCGTCACTGATAGTCAGGCTTGGCATTGGCAGTTTTCAATCCCCAACTGAGTCCTTATTTCCTTTAAAATATTTTTTGCATTTACAATGAAAAGCAGCGATCCACCACAACTGCCAGACAATTGTCTTGTGTTGAAAAACATAAAATAACACATGGAAGCTGTTATCGACCAGATTTCACCCTGGACACTGTCACCCTCCACTTGTCTCCAGATATACAGTGGAAATGTTGTCCAGATACACCCATGCTGGAGACCATGCTGCTAAAACCCTTTAAAATAGGGGAATTGACTTTGCCTTATCTTTCAACGCTTGTGTCCCTATTGAACTTTTCTGTTGTGGGATGTTCCCCCTGTGTGGGTCCAAAACAGCTGTCTTCTGCGGCGAACACGGCTCGCTGCGGTCTAGACACTCGGCTCGGCCCCTGCGTGCTGCACGGCGTCCTGCGGTCCAACACCAGTCCGCCTCATTACCGCCCCGACGGCTCCGTTTGCTCCGCGCACACGCTCGCGTTTTACGCATTTCCCAAATACAGATGAACTGTTTTTATTGTCAATAGCTGGTGATGTGAAGCATCAGTGGCGCCCACATCGCCGGTAAAACCTGTTAGTACATCCAGTAAGTGGAGCGTTCGTGTTGCCTTACAACGATGTTCTACAGTTTATTTTTTGGGCATTTTAGAGGGATGCTGTAAGCATTCACAGAAAAACTACGTGTTATCAATACAATAACACATTGTAGCCTTTGTTAAAAGCATAGAAAACGTTTTATAATATAATCAACTTACTGTTGAGCAGAACAGAAAACTGTTTGATCATTCTTGTGAGTTTCCATAAAGGGAGTTCAGAAACACAACTTTAATTAGCGGCACTGCTCGTTGGTGGCGTATCTTTTTAAAGGGACATCATTCATATAACAAGTTGGATTTTCTTCCAAAAAAGTATTCAGTGAAGTGGTGCAGTTAATGTGTAGTTTTTCTAAAGTTATTCCACCCAACCGCATTTGTCAATAAAACCCTGGTCACGCGTCTTTACGCACTTCTTGATCCTGTTCCAACCGTCATAGCCCGAAAAGTATAAAATGTTTATCCTAAATTCCATGTCAAAGAAGGAAACTCACCCTGAACTTCGAAGCAGTGAAATTGTGAGCGCAGTCGCGCTTCTGTCTTTCTCCAAACGGAGCAGTTCACCGATATAACTCCAGACCTTGTAGCTTTCCGTGCGTGCGCTCTCTCTCTCTCTCTCAAAAAAAAGTTTCTTTGAACGTATTAAACTTTTAAACAAACGGGCTTCATCAAATCCTTGGAGAGGTACACCGACCTCCACGTCAAGGAATGCGCTCAAGTGCGGACTCTCTGGACAAAAAGCGCTTTATTGGTGAGCACAGAGGAGAGTGTAAGCGGAGGGATGGGAGGGGCGAGGCGCACCGCACCAGAGCGCACTGCTGCACAGACCGGAGAGGAGCAATCAACCTGGCAGCTTGGCTGAGTGCTAAGGAAAGACATTCCAGCCTGCTTTCAGTTTGCCACATCTTAATGCCTACCTGCACGACCTGTTTTAAGCAAGACTCATTATTGGTTTGATTATTTACTGTTCATTTAAATTACTATTTCTTAGTTATTAGTAATTGCTTTGTTGTTGTTTTTTTGTTGGCTTTTTATTCAGCCCCTCTGCAGAGTAATATGCAAGTGTCTATAGGCTTCAGCATTATGCTTACTTTTATACTAAAATACATATACAATATTTGTGGTTAAGTATTGATAATATTATTGATGATAAACTAAAAAAGAAAGTTGTTTCCTCTATTTATGTCAATATCTATCAATTAAATGTATCTTCTCCCACACTTTATCTGGCTGTTGACATGTGAGGGATTTGTCAATTGCCTCCACCACGTACGTGCAGTGTACTTCAGCACATATGGTCGCTTCATTTACAGAGGCTGCACCTTCAAGCTGAGAAAGCTATTGAATACTTCCTAACGCCAGTGACAAGCTACCCGTCGGCAGCTGGCAGCCTATTTCAATGTCAGCCAGTCCCAACAAGGTACAGTAAGGTGATAGCTCTCAGAACTGTGTCACCTCTGATGTTTACTTTTAGCCACATGTCACAGAATCAACCAGAACCCTAAACCCTTGTGTACACTGCTCTAATATTTGTTGATATATTTGTTTGTTTTGACCCGCAAGTTTATGGAGACGCTTTCTTGTCTCACATGTTGACAAGAAATTGTTTAAAAAAATAATTGAAACCAGGCCAAATTTAACCTTGCGGTGATGTCACACTCTCTTGTGCTAAAGGCGGAGAGAAAAAGATTCAACAAACAGATCTCTCTCTGGCCTCGAGGCCATCGCACGTGTATCCTGTAACCACCCCCACCCTCAGACTGGACAAGGGACACTTAAGTTCCACTTGTTGAGCCGTGCTTATGTATTTTGTACAGTTTACTTTCTGATAGCAGTCTCCACACAGTCTGTGGCTCACGCCTGTCTCCTGCTCCTTTTCCCCCTGCTCCTACTGTAGGAGTAAGTACATGTAACACACACACACACACACACACACACACACACACACACGCACACACACATGCACGGTACCATCTGCAAGGCATTACAGTAAATTGCAGGAATAGAGAAATGATTTCACGCATGTCCTGCAGGGTCCAGATGTAGCTCCTCAGTCATACCCAGTCGAGTTTTTTACGTGTTCAAGAGAAATAAAGAAGGGGTAAGAAATAAATCTTACTCCGTTGTACTTTATCACCCATGTACGAGGCTCACAAAATTAGCTCTCGTGCTCTGCTTATCTCTGTTTCTCCCTTTCATTTGCTTGCTCACTCTCTGAGTAAATAAGGGGATCCTGTGTGTCCAAACTGGTAGGTGTTCAGACCAGCATTGAGGTTATCCAGGCAACACTGACAGTGCGTTACTTATCTTAGTCATTCAGAGCTTGTGTGTGTTGGATGGTGAGAAGGACCAGCATCTTCAGAGCTCAGGTACTCAAAGACTTACCTACAGACTGGAAACTGCTGATCACCATTTCAAATTCAGCATGTCAGCAAAGTCAGCATGAAGTGAATGTTGCCACAACTGGTTGTCACAATAAGATAAATAAATAGAAATACAATGTTGGATGGCAACATGCACAATAGATGGATGACAGTGTTAACTTCTACTTAACTTAATTCTTTATTTAAGCATTTTAAGCATTATAATCAGTAAACACAAGACATCAAATTATGAAATATGCCAAATTTTGAACAATTTCGATATAATTTAATATGCCGAGATGCAATTTAGTATCTTTTATTTTAGTTTCAGAGTTAATAATAAGTGTTTCACATTTTTTAAAATAGAATTTTTATAGAATTTAATTATTCCTCTATCAGTAGGGACACAAAATATTTTACAAAATAAGACATGGTTGGCCTACACTATCATAATCAGCCTTCAAAACCCACAAGGTGTACTTTTTGTGAAATTATAGTATATAAACTTCCCTATATTCACAGACAAAATATAGAGCTGGGTGTCCTCAGTGACATGAATACATTATTATTAATACATTTTAAAGGGGTCCTCCAAGAGTGGGCCTACATATCTGCTTAAAATTTATCATAACCTTTAACTTATAAAATTTGAACCTTTAAATGGATTCACCTTTATTCAGCAGCATATATAACACAACAAAACAAGTTCTTTAACATGTCACAAAAACAACCAGATATCATCTCAGCTCAACACACACAGCAGTCTATTGTTAAACAGTTTGAAAAAAAAATGCAAAGAAGTGTTCCACTCATTACATGCATGACAACTTTATTACGCTATCCAACATAACTAAATGTACACTGTTACACGACACTCATCAAGATTTAAGTCCAGACCACTGTTCTGCAGTTAAATGACCAGAGCACGAAAGCCTTGTTGTAGTCTGCTCCACTTATTTGTACATTACAGGACAGTTGCAGGCTAACAAGGGGTATAAATCACAGTCTAACAGCATTACTGCATGTGCCGTCAGCACGTTGGGTTCCTAATCATTCTGGCTCTGTAAAAGATGGCGAGGCGGCATACTTGCTCGATAACACTGCCCAGGGGAACCAGTAAAACACTGGTTTGCTGCTGAGCCAGCCGCAGCCTGCTAACGGTTTAAAGCTTGGGGCACTTAGCCACACAGCTGGGTTTTTTTTTTTATCGGGATGTGACAGTGGTTTCTTCTTCTTGTCAGTTTTCTTGGAAATACCTCTCTCTGCGCTACCACTTGTTCTTTCAGGTTTTATTTCATTCACTTATGTGCAGATTTATTAGGTGTGTGTGTGCAGACTCGTGCTGAAGTATTTCGTCAACCGGCAGACTTTCATCTGTGTCTCTTTCCCCACCCTAGTAATCCTCTTTGTTTTTGGCTGTTTTATTGTTTCTCACATTTGCTTAATCATTTTCTTGCCTCCGTGATATATGGTAACTGTTGTGGCTCACCGTTATTTCAAGTTCAGCTTTGCCTAACATTTATGGTTCTAGTCTGCATCACTAAAGATCCACAAATGATTTATTGTTTGAAATTAAAGCGTTGTGAGGTACACTTCTGAAAAGTCAAAGATGCATAGTGTGACCTAGATTTCATATATAAAGATCCACAAGAGACAAAACCTGCAAAAAATGCATCTACTCCTTCTACCTTATTAAAAATAACAGAATCTATGAATATGTAAATTTAGTTAATTTCTTTTAAAGGTGTTTCTTACTTCACTGTAAAGTCCATTCCTGGTGTATGTGCACTGGTGGTTTCTACATCCCAATTGTATGATTTGCATACTGGACAAGGTTTGACTTGATTAGTTGTGATTTCACAGATCATGCTCATAGACCCCGCCCCTTAAAATCAGTTGAGCACAGAGAAACTTTCCACTTTCAGCAGATGAGTGGAGTATTATATTTTATATTTTATTTGTGACTGATGAAAATAAGAATAAAACAGAGTTTAGGAGAAAGGCTAAACTGACCATAAACTGACTAAACAGTCTGTGTCCTGCCTGCCAAAGGTGTTTTCACAAGCCAGGTTTCCATCCAAAATGAAAATGGGAATTAATGCGTGTTTCAATCCACTACTATTTTCCGATTATTGGGAGCTGTTTTTGTTTAGATAAACAGCTGGTGGTGGCCATTTTACAGGTGAGTTCCTTTAAAAGTCCAGTGTGTAACATTTAGGTCAGTTTGTTGTAATTTGCCTTTGTTGGAACTTTTCCACCCAAGTCAAGCAAAAAACCTTTGTGTCATTTCGAGATGTTTTTAAAAATTTCAAAGCCTCCACTCTGGTTTTTGGATGGTGGCTGAAAATCCACCTACTGTCCGGTATGCTTATTCATGCATTTTTAATTGTTAAAACCTTGTTCCCATTAAGTGCACTTTTGGACAAAGCTATCCTTAACAAAATGGCTTTTTTATTTTCATATGACCAATTATATTTTTTAACAGAGTCAGAGTGTTTTCACTTAACAGTGACAATTTGTTCTGGTTTGATTATAGGATAGTTTTGTTTTGGCTGTATGACACTAGTTCCTTTCTTGTGGAAAATTCCCACTTTCTTACCTTTTTCACCTGGTTTTTGTGTGCTATATTGTCCAGCAAATATGTTAAGGTTGCTGGAGAGTGAATACATCATATACTTTAGGGTTGTCCTTGGTCCTGTGTCCTATCACCACATCACCTTCTTGCCAAGGAGACACCCAGTCATGGAACAAACACAGACCACCATGAAGACACAACTATATTCATACTACACAGTCACACCCTCCATGATCACATCTGTAGATCTATTCAGAAAACACCAGCATGTGTCTTGGTTTGAGGTATACGTGTTTTGTTGTTCACAACATGCCTGTGGGTTCTTACTTTTGAGAAGTAGGAGCTCGTGAGTTTAGTAGACAACAAACAAGAGTCTCTGCAGGAGAGATATGAAGAGTCAGTGAGAATGAGAGCAAGTTTAAGAGAATAGTTCACCACAAAATGACATTTCACTTATTCGGTTAGTCCCACATTGTCAGTTGAAACAACAAACATGCCTTCTTTTGAGAAGTTGAAGTTGGCGGGATGATTTTTTTACGTCTCCAAAAACAGAACATAGTGTCCATCAAATATCTGAAAACAGCTTGCGCAGCACATTTTGTAGCCACACAAGGGCACTTTTCACCTAAAATATTTGTCATAATGTGCTAATCTTTCCTCAGTGACAAAGCTGTGGTGGACTGGAAGAAGACCAGTTGCTGCTGTGGGATGCAAATAATTATAGCTTGAGCTCAATTGAGAGAAATTATTGACATTTTCTTTTCTTTTTTCTGGGCACTCTAGACATTATC